TCTCTGTTAACTGTAGCCCCACGGCCCTAGCCTTTCCTGCTGTGCAGACCCCGCCCATGTGGGTGAAAGGACAGTGACAGGGAGCAGCAGGACACGCCTGTGGTGACAAGTGCTGTGGGCACGTTGGGGTATGCTCAGGGGGTTGGGACCAAGGAGCCTGAACAGAGCTGGGATGTGTCAGCTGGGATGTGAGGGAGGAGTCAGGTGACCTCCCTGTAAAGAAGGGAACAGTCTTCCGGTCAGAGGACAGGGCATAGACCAAGGTCAGGAGAAGGGAGAGCAGGGGATCCCACTGTGCAGACCCTGGGGAGACCTACAGCGCCCCCTGCTGCTCCCAGGTCAAACTCCAGCGCAGGTGGAAGTGATGCTGGGGGCCCTGGGCTGATACCTGGTCACTGTGAATCCACAAACATCCACTGTCCAAGTCTCGTGCTGGGAGCCCGTACCCGGTGTAAATTGATTGTCTGATTTCAAAAGCACAAAAACTTTCAAAACGTAGACATTGTTTAAATATCTACAGTACAGTTAATTTTCAGGCTTTTAACATTACACTATTAAAAAGACCATGTTGTGTCATTATAATAAGTGAGATCAAAGTCAGAAGGGGAGGAAAGTGTGGGGAATGGCTCTCAGGAGAGCATGACTGTCTCAGAGAGCATTAAATATATTTCCCCAATTGTTCTATTTCTTGATCGTCATTGTGAGATGACTGTCAGCAACTGCTGTATAAACTGGAAAACAAATGTGCTGTGGGTATGGCTAATGCATACGTATGAAGAAATCTTAAATACTAATTTATGCTCTGTCATCAAATTGAATTCAGTACATCTGTGAACACGCTTGGACTAAGAAGAGTGGAGCTGGCAGAGATGGCCGCTCCTAGTCTCACTGCTGATGGATAGAATTTGGAGCTGAGCCATGATCACCATCATAATGAGTGGAGGGGGGACCCCCAGGAGCTATGGACACAGCCTGGGAGAGGCTGGAGGAGGCACATGGCCTGGAACACCTGGGCAGGAGATGGGGGAACAGTGCCCCCTCCCCCTGTGGGGCTGACATCTCACCCTCTCTTCCTCTCCTGCCCCTCAGGGCTGAGCCCTCTGAGCTCAGGGGGAGGTTTTGGTAGCACTTCCCTGTGAGGTTACATCACTGTGTCAGTATAACTACCTATGTCCAGAGCACAGTAATAGTCGGCCTCGTCCTCAGGCTGGGCCCCCGTGATGGTGAGGGCGGCTTTGTTCCCAGAGATGGATCCGGAGAAGCGACTGGGGACCCCAGAGTGACGGCTGCTTGTGCTGTAGATAAGAGTGCGTGGAGCCTGGCCTGGTGTCTGCTGGAACCAACCAGGGTAGTTACTGGTAGTGACAGACCCAGAGCTGAGGCCGCAGGTGAGTGTGACCGTCCCTCCTGGAGACGCTGACAGGGACGGCTCCTGGGTCACCACAGTCTGAGAATCCACCCCTGAAAGTGACAAGTGAGAGACAAGTGTGGTTTAGGAGACCAGGGTCTCCCAGACACCTGTCTGTAGGTGCCCCCCAACACTGCAGCGTCCCGGCCCCTGACCTGAGCCGTGTGCGAGGAGCCCGAGCAGAAGCACCGTCCAGGCCATGGTGGGGACGCTTCTGGGACGCGGCTCCTCAGCCTCCTGGGCTGCACTGTGGGATCCTCGGGCCTTTTCATGCCTCCCGGACCCACTGGGAGGAGCAGAGACTTCATGCAAATCAGCTTCCTCCCTCTTGCTGCCAGTGTCACCTGATGTCCCCTGGGGAGGTCTGGAGGGAGCAGATGCGGAGACGTCACCCTTACCCAGGAAGGCACAGTAATGAGACACTGAGTTACGGGGGTGACATATGTCACCAAATGTGCTCCCCCTGCCCCTGTGACCTCAGTCCTAAATCTCTTCCCTGTAGAGCCTGAGGGCTGAAGGTGGAGATGGTGGGTTCCCCCCCTCTGGGCCCTGAAATCTAGTCCCCCCACAACTACCCCCATCCCTGGGACAGGTGTCCCTTCCTCTGTGAAATCCCTGCTTGTCTCCTTTGGATGAGCTGAGCTGTCCCTCCTCCTCCAGCACTGAGTCCACTGGGAAGTCGCAGAGCCCGTGTCTGGGGTGGGAGGGACAGGGGTCTCACTGGTCTCAGTCCTGGACCACAGGGCAGCCCCACAGCACGCTTTGCTCGTCACGGGGCACAGTGTCACCGAGGACCAGAGACCTGAGGGCCCAGCTGTTTGGGCAGCTCACCTGGTCTCCATTCACAGATTCCTGGTCGGCTTCCCTGATTCTGTGGTTCTTTCATGCTGAGTCACTTCCTATAGTGTTTTCATTTCCAAATGGAGTCCTGGTCCATGGAAGCTGCAAAACTGTGCATATGGAACCATTTTACAGCCGCCTCCCACCTTCATAAAGTACAGTCTAGAAAAATCATCTGACCCATGGGTGCACCAGTGCAGGTGTCAGTGACAAGGGGACAGTGAGTTGGTTTTAAGGATGTGTAGGAACGCTACTGAGTCCCCATCAGGAGCACAGGCCCTGCCCCCAGGCCCAGCTCCTGGGAGTGAATGATCCTCCTTGAGCCACTGTGCAGGGACCACAGGGCAGGCCCAAAGCGCTGCCTGCTGGTAGAATGTGGCAAATGCAAAAAATTAAAAATATAGGTAATCTCTAGAAAAAAAGATAAAATGCATTTTTTATAGGAAAATACAACATTGGGACTAATAGACAAAATAAGTAAATGGACTAATTTCATAGGAAAAAACAAAACATTTTATTATTGAGTTATTCCACAAAAAACATAACATACATTTTCACCCAGAATCTAACAAACTGTCAGCATCACATGGTTCCAATAGATATGATTTGTATGATTTTTATAAAATGTTGAAAAAGATGTAAAATTTCAATTTGTTTGAGAAAGCATTTAAAACGGTTATACACACACCTGTAAATAAAATACCAAAGAAGTAACATTACAAACAACTATCATTAATTATTGAATCAGACGAGATTGGGCGCGTTCAAGGTGTTATGACCATGGACAAATATTGACTCAAACATTCTAAACAAAATATTAACAAAGAAATTACAGTACCAGATAATAAACTGATAATGTTATTAACTGTCATTTTTACGAATATACTTCTGTTTTATAATTAACACATTTTAAAATATAAATTTAACACAAATAAGAAAAAATGGTAATAATGTTAAATCCATACAAAAATAGAAACAGACACATTTGTAATATGCTAACACACACTCTTTCACACACACACAACATCACACAGGTTCCACGGAGAGGACTCTGCCCACGAACTGTGTCTCCTCTGCACAGACTCTCCCAGGAGCCCTCGTCCTCCTTGAAACACACGCTGACTCCTCACCTTCTATAAGCACCTCCGTGACCCGGGTTTGGCAAAGATTCCTTAGAGAATGGGGAGGAGATGACCCCCATCTGCACCATGTGCTGAGGGAGCAGGACCAGGAGCTCCCAGGTGATGGGGCCTCACAGGGAGGATGGTCACACATCGATGAGGACAGTCTGTCCAGTCTGAGTGGTTGACCAGCTGTCTGCCCCAACATCCCCTCTGGGATTCTGCATTATGCCCCCTGCTGACCACAGGGTCTCCTCCTCCAACCCCTGGGAAGTCCCCTGACCCCATGGCAAGTGTTCAATTTTACAGCAGTCTTTCTGATGTGACCCCAGAAGAGGGGGGACAGGGACTTCCTGGTTTCTGGGTCCCCATTCCTCGTATCTGCTGCACTGTGCTGGTGTCTTCCTTTACGTGGCTTCCAACCTTGTTGATCTAGCAGAGTTTCTTTGTTTCTCCCACAAGAGTTTGTCCCGACACTTATTGAGCCCATCCTAATGTCTTCCAGTCCCCACAGGACTTGATGGGGTCAGTGTGGACCCATCGCCTGGACCCTGACCAGGGGGGAATACAGATCCCTGAGGCCAGGGATCCAGTCTGGAGCTGAGTCTCTGCCATCTCTGCCTGTCCCATCCTGTCTGTCCTTTTTCTCATCAAGACCTGACAGGTGCAGCCACATGGGTGTGATCAGTCCTGGCTGCATAAAGGAACCTTCTGGGAAGATGTCAACACAACGTTGTCAGTAGCCCATCCCTGAGGTGCCCACCAGTCGATCAGGAGGAGACGTTGTGGTCCTGTGCTTTCCAAAGCCGTGGGTTCTAGCACGTGGGAAGCCCTGAGAACACGTGTCCCGACTCCTTCCTTCCTTCCAGTCTGCTCTTCCAGTTCCTTGGCATTTAACAGCAGAAGGTAAATGTTCCATTGAATGTGAAATGAGCGCCCCCTAGAGACACACTTCTGGGATAACTGACGCTCCATCATCTATCAAGAGCCAGTCTTTTCCTTGATGGTCTCTGATCTCAATAATCTTGTGTTAGCAGAATGTGGTCATCACGTCATCTCAGTGGACTGCAGCTCAGCCCTGCCCCACGAGATTCCTAAACCCGACACTTTTTCCCGACCCCTTTCTATACTTACTCCTACCGCCGAAACACCTGGCATCTGACTGTGCTCCTTACCCTCACCTGCTCCCCCGTCATCCCCGACGCCACAGTTTGACCATTGTGTCCAGTTCACATCCCCAAGTGGTCCCTTCCCTCACTCTCACCTCCTCCTCCCTCACCTTCTGTGTGGAACCCACACATCATCAGTTTCTGTTTCTTCCTCGTACCCCGTCCAATGGCTCCCATGTCCACCCGCCAAGCCCACCTCTTCCTCCTCAGTCACGTGTGATGTATTGACAAGGTCACAGGCATCCCTATGTCCTTCAAGCTGTATCCAAGCGCTGGAACCTACCGGGCACCTGGTAGTGTTCACTCAATGGTGTGGATGGACGGACCTCTGTATAGTCCTTCCCAATCAGGCACATCTGGACTTCGTGTCCCTGATTCTGACCCAGCGTGGGCTCAGTCACCAGTGCAGCCGCCCAGGGGTATCCAGGAAGTCCTGTTCACTTTGAGAAAAGCAGACAAGGCTCTGCTGACAAGGACTGGGCTTAGGGGCAGAATTTGAGAGGTGAGGACACATGCTCTAGACAAAGTAACTTCATGTGGATTTAAGACTCCATGTTCAAGAAAAACAAAGAAAGGATGCAGCTGTGTTGGCTGAGCAGTGGGGGCTGCCCAGGGAGCCCCATGGCTAGGGAACAGTAGGTTTTTGTCTCACTTCCCTGCCGGCCTGGAGCACTGTGCCAGTACTGAGGCTGCTGTCATAACATCCACAGTAGTAATCAGCCTCATCCTCAGCCTGGAGCCCAGTGATGGTCAGGGAGGCCAAGCTGCCAGTCTTGGAGCCAGAGAAGCGGTTGGGGACCCCTGAGGCTCGATTGTTAGCATTGTAGATCAGAAGTTTGGGTGCCGTTCCTGGGAGTTGTTGGTACCAGCTCAAATAATAACCACCCCCGATGTTGCTGCTGCTTCCTGTGCAGGTGATGGTGACCGTCTGGCCCGGGGATCCAGACATGGAGGACAGCTGAGTCAGCACAGACTGGGCCCAGGACCCTGCAAGTGGGAGAGACAGAGATGCTGATTCTGGGTTCCAGACACAAGAGGAGGACCCGGAGCACGGGTGTCCTGCCAGGGCCTCTTCCCCTGTCCCTCATCCAGTCACCTGTACAATGAGCCAGCAGGGTGAGGAGGAGAGGGGACCAGGCCATGGTGGGGATGGTCACTGGGTCCTTGTTTCCTGTAGCCCCACAGCTGAGCAGAGTGTCCCCAGGTCTCTCCTCTAATCCATATTCTGGGAGAGGGAGGGGCCAGTCATGCAAATCACACCCACCAGCTCTCTGGTCCCTCCCTGGCCCAGGGTCAGGTCCCAGGGGTTGGGCAGGGTCAGGGCTGTGTGGGGCCCAGGCTTGGGGGGTGTTCCATCTGGGAGCCTTGAGCAGAGGGCACCCGGCAGGCCCAGGGGGTGGTCCTAGCTTCCATCCTCTAACGATGTGTATCTTCCACCTGAGCCCAGCACATAGTAGGTGTCCAGTAAATGGTGCAGACTGATCAACTCCTGAGTACTCAGCAGCCATCTTGTTTGAGACAGACCTGGGATCTGCATGTGTCCCGGTTCTGTCCTGACCCATCATGGAATCTCCCTGCCTCTGATGTCAGGAAACCCTTCTGGATGGGGTGCAATCAGATAATGTGCTTTTTCCAGGACAGGCTTTGGGGGCACAATTGAGATGCTGGGGCAACATGTTCTCGACCTTGTTCCCAGGAGTGGGTGTGTGATCCTCGATTTTGGTCACATAAACAATCAAGACCACACACTTCAAAGGTCGCTGTCCAAGTGTGCAGGTGTCAATAGAAAATTTTCAGTGGTAGCTTTGCCCAGAACCCTGCCTTCTCAGGACCTGTACAACAGTGCCCCCTACTGGTCTCTGTTCTAGGGCCCGCCAGCCCCTCTGTCTCCACCCAGCACTCCTGGAGGGCAGCCTAGTTCTGCACACGCATTTTGTCATCTTACTCCCCACATGAGTAGACGGAGGAGGCTCCTCCCCTGGGATTGGGACTGAGACATTAACTGTCTAGATCATTTCTAGACAATGAATGCCCTCCAGGTACTAACGCTGGGAAGTATTGCACAGCCCTTCTCTTGCTTGTGTTTCAAGATCACCTGGCATCTTGTCTGATCCTTCCATGTGCCTGGGTCAGTGCAAATACAAGGCCATCATGAACCACGTTCAAGGGGGAGGGTACAGCTCAGTGGTAGAGTGCGTGCTTAGTGTGCACGATGTCATGGGTTTAATCCTCAGTACCTCCACTGAAAATAAGCAAATAAACTAATTACTTCCAAAGAAAAACTTTCAAAAATAACTAAAATAAACCAAGTTCATAACGTAACAGTCTACAGTGTACCCTCCTGGTTCATATTGACAAAAATTCCATATGTGTTACCCTGACAGGCCGACACTTTATTGTTGGTGGTGGTCTTGTTGTGAGGGACGCCTGTTAGATCCCCACCCCCAGGGCCCAATTTCAGGCATCTGATGGCTCTCTTGGCCCCTAGAACACAACGTAGTAGAGACACAGTGTCCTCCCATCCTGTACCTCAGGCTTCACTTGTCCTTTAATTGTTTAGCTGAGGATTCATTCTTTCCTCTTCTGAATCTGGGATGGGTTCATAATTTTGTTTTTCCATTTTGGTATAATTTTTCAATTGCTTTCAGTTTAAGGATTGAGGGTGAGTCATTATTACAATCACCTGTAATTAATGACTGACTTAGTTAATTACGTGGAGGTGCTCCCTCGTCTTCTGACCCTAAGTGGCCTCCACAGCTGTTACCCATCCCCCGAACCTTACGTTCATTCAGTAAAGTCCCCAATAGATTGGCATGGAAGACAGAAGAAAAAGTTCTAGAAACGTTCCTGTAATGTTGAGGTTCTGTGTGATACTGAGGGTTGGATCATAGGCTCTAGACTCCAACGAAATGAGATCCATTCAAATAACCTCCCAATAAAAGCAAAACAAAACAGAAACCAGAGTGGGAGACAACTAGACTGATGGAGGTAAACTCGAGAGAGTAGCTGGTCGTCCATGGGAAGGGAGGGTCTCCTGCACCTTGGCGTCCAATAGCTCCTCCCACCTGGACAAGGATTCTGCTTCGTGAAGGTCTCAGAGCACAGGGCTCACCAGCAGAGCCTGGGCCAGGCTCATGGGACACGAGGGGATTGGCCAGAGCAGGACCAGGTGCCCTGGGTCCCACAGGCTGGACTTGTCTCCTCCTTGTCCTCCCCAGCCAGCACGAGGGGGGCTAATCTAGATACTGGTGACAAATGATTTGTCCCTGGAAGACCAGTAAGAGAGGAGGTTATTTTCAGCCCATTCAGGATCACACTGACTCCAGAACATCACTCTGTCTGGTTCTTGTAACTGAAGTGACGGCAGATTCCAAAACCACAGCGGGCGTTGCCCACAGCGGGGGCAGGGCCTGAGGGGTCACACAGGGGAGAGTGGGGGGCAGATGCCCATCTCCCATCCCGGGGACTGGAGTCTCAGCCCATCCAGGCTGTGCTCAGCTGTGTGACAGTGGTCATCACCCACCCACTCAGGAGGAGCCCTGCGGGGGTCAAGGAGGCTCTGCCATCGGAAAAAGTCAGGAGGATTTTATTTGTCAGATTTATCATTACCTATTTCTTAGTTTTGAAGCCATTAGTTGGTATTTTTACATCTTACTGTCAATTTCTGATGGTTCATTGCCAGCGTGTATTTTACCGCTCACTTCCACATATTGATTTTGGATCTCAGACCTCAGATTGAAGCTCTTAGACAAGAAGCATCCTGGGGTCACCCTTAGACACTGAGGGGGCAGGGCTGGGACCAACCACTGTCTACCACTTATAACATCTCCACGGGGAGGTTTTTATCTTAGAGCAAGTCCTGTCTGCCTGTGGAAACACGAGCAGGCTGAGATGCAACAGCAACGCTCAGTCTCAGATGTGAGATGAGGAAGAGGCTGCGACGGGGTCAGATTTGCTGTTCAGAGGAAACTCAGGTGTTTCCTGAAGATGTGACAACAGAAAGTCACCCTGAGTGCGACCTGGTCCCAGGCACAGCGCAGGAATGGCCCAGCGGGGAGCACAGGGGAGGTTTTAGTCTCACTTCCCTGTGGGTCTGGGGCACTGTGTGAGGATTACTGCTGCTGTCCCCTGCAGCACAGTAATAGTCAGCCTCGTCCTCGGGCTGCAGCCCAGAGATGAGCAGAAGCCCTGCATTGGCCGAGGCATCTTTGGACCCAGAGAAGCGGCTCGGGACTCCGGAGCCCTGGTGCTTGCTGGAGTCTGAGTAGTAGTCCAGGAGGTACCGGGGAGGGCTCCCTGCCTTCTGCTGGTACCAGCTTATAGCATAGCTGCCAACACTGTTCCCACTGCTCAGGGTGCAGGTGAGTCTGGCTGATGCTCCCAGAGACCCAGAGAGGGAGGGCGGCTGAGTCAGCACAGGCTGGGTGAGGGACCCTGCAAACACAGACACAGCAGAGTCAGGAGAAGGGATGGGATGCAGCTGTTTGGGGACCTGAGGTAGAAGCAACTACTCGGCTGGGAGCCGCCTGGGTCCCCGAGGCCCGTCGTACCTGCACAGAGGGAGAGGAGCACGAGGAGGGCGGGGATCCGAGCCATGGTGCTCACAGTCCTGCTTAGGCCATGAGCTGAGGCTGGGCTGCCCTGGCCTCTCTTATCCCTCCCTGAGGGCCGCCAAGGAGGAGGAGCTGTCACGCAAATGTGTCCCCACCTGCTGCCACTCCCCCATGTGCACAGACATGGTCTGGGGCCTTTGGACAGGGAGCCTCCCTGGTGACTGTTTTCCCCATGGGTGGCCTTGGGAGGACAGCTGCTGGGACCCGCTGCAGGCCCACGTGCAGGGGACCAGAACAGGCCCAGAAGGGACACGGCTGCCCACCCCACATCGGAAGCTGAGGTCCCCACCCCGAGTCTCCCATAGAGGAGGCCAGCCCTGCCCTGAGCACCTAAACCACCACAGACAGCCTCACGGCGCCCTCTACTGCTCCCCGGGAGAACCTCTCCTTTCTCTCTGGCCTGAAAACTCACCTTCACCTGTTTCCCTGACTCCTGTGTTTCCCACTAGTGAGTCATCCCTACAGGGAACCATGCAGGTGTGACCTGGTGTGACCCTCACTGATTCGGGTCCCGGATCCGTAGGTGATGGGCTATCAGGAGGCATACGTGACGTCCTGACCCCGGAGAGCATGTGAACTGCCGCGGAGCTGAGAAAAGGACGCAGGGAACAAACAGCAGCAGGGATCTGCCAGTGCGGGGGCTCAGAGGTGGCAGGCTGGCTCAGGGCGCTGCGTGTGACCAGGACCTCCCAGAGGGACACAGACGCTTACAGAGCAGGACATGGAAGGAATCTGGGGAGATGCAGGCTTAATTCAATCCCTGTCCCTCTTCCTTCTCTACTCCAGACCACAACCTACAGCCGTCCTGGTTGTGGAGCAGAGCTGGGATATTGGGACCCTGGTGTCTTAGTGTAGATTACCCCAGACACCCAACTAATCTTGTAGGGACATAAGCAGGTGCCCGGTGACTGTCACATGGACAGATGCTCAGTGTCCACATGCCCCCAGGAACATCCGCATTGACGTTGAATTGTGGAAAGCCCACTGCCCCAGAACGAACGCGCTACACAGTGTCTTGAATCTGTTTCTTTTTATATGTTCTCTCAGAATTAAATCTTCAAACAGCATCTGATGAATCACAAGACCCCAGTGACGGGGGTCTTGCATCTCACAGAGGGAACAGAGCACGAGCTTGTTGTACCAGAGTCCGTCCAGCCCAGACCCTTTGTTATCAGGTGAACCGGTCAGAGCAGCTAAAGGACATGTGCTTCTGGAACCAAAACAGCTTCCAGAGTGCTGTGATACCTCCAGGCGGGGCCTGAGGAGGTCGGGGCGGGCTTTGTCCCCTGAGAGGAAGCACCTGCCTCCACATTCCAGCTACAGCCAGTCAGCCGGGGTGCAGGGCCCAGTCAGAAGGAGCCTGAGTGGGGTTCAGGCTTGGCGGGTTCTGAGTGGACCCACAGCGCCCCCTGGTGACGCTCTCTGAATGTTCATGGTGGTGGAAATGATGCAGTAGGGATGGCAGCCTTTTTTTTCCTTCCAAGGAATCATCAACCACTCAATAATCAGGTAAGGAAATAAAATAATTATGTGCATTACATGTCTTTGAGCCCTTGGAGAGAGATTTTTTATTTTCCTCTGTTGTATTTCAGATGTGTGTTTCCATCCACTTTATTCTCCTGGTTCTATTTCTGCCTCCGTTGACCTCCTGCTCCATGTTCCCAGTGCCTGTACCTGCTCATCTGGGGGTTTGATTTTGAACCCTACACGTATGTCATCACTGAGTCATCTCGGTATTGCTGCCAACGGATACTGTTTTCACACCAATATTTATTTTCCCAGTTGTTGATATGACAAATGACATTTTTACTGGATCCTGGACTTTGGGGAGGTGACATCAAGAAACTCTGAGTCCCCTTTAGTCTTCGTTGGTCAGGGATCATCCTGCAGCAGAAGGTTGGGGTGTGTTCACTGCCACTGACCTAGCAAAGGGGGGCCCTGACCCCACTGCTCTGTGCTGCTGACTCCATCCTGGGGACCGTGGGGCAGCTGTGGTCACCAGCTCCTTCACATCCAGGGGGCGTGGGGACCAACCACCTGCTGGACATGCTAACCTCAGGGAGGGAAGCCGGGCTGAGAGGGGCTGCTTTGCTGCAGTGGGCGGGTACTTGGCCCACTGGGCTCCGTGGCCACCAGGACACCAGAAAGGGAAGGGCACCGCAGTGTCCATCCCTGCCCCCAGCTCAGATTCACTCCTGTTAAGCTAGGTGGGGTCAGGGCTTAGTCCTCACTGGCCCTACAGTCCTCAGTAGGCGGACAGAAGTGCAGACTAGCCTGCCTTGTCTCCCTCGTTCAGTCTCACACTAAACAATGGGGAGAAAGCCCAGCTCTCCCTGGGCTGCCAGAATCCAGGGGCGAGAACTGGACAGCTGACCACACCGACGGCCCACCTGGCTCAGGCTGGATGACCTGGTGGGATGGAGGCTCCTCGCCCTGGACCCCTAGACACTCCCCCAGGGCTGACAGGGCCAGCCCACTTCTGTCAGGGGGGCTGGGAGCACAGGTCCTGCCCAGCAGTGCTGAGACCCCTGCTGAGGTCACAGTGCAGGGAGTTTATTTGTCCAACCAGAGATCAGCAAGATCAACAGGGAAGGTCATCCTGATGGTGCTGGATTCCTGAGTCTCACGGCTTGGGGATAGGATTTGGAGCTGAGCCAAGATCATCATCATAATGTGAGGGGGGACATCCCTTGAAGAGATGGACACAGCCTGGGGGAGGCTGGAGGAGGCATGTGGCCTGGAACACCTGGGCAGGAGATGGGGGCACGGCGCCCCCTCCCCCTGTGGTGCTGACATTTCACCCTCTCTCTTCCTCTCCTGCCCCTCAGGGCTGAGCCCTCTGACCTCAGGGGAAGGTTTTGGTAGCACTTCCCTGCGAAGTTACATCACTGTATCAGGGTAACTACCAGGGTACAGAGAACAGTCATAGTTGGCCTCGTCCTTGGGTTGGGCCCCCGTGATGGTGAGGGCGGCTTTGTTCCCAGAGATGGATCCAGAGAAGCTACTGGGGACCCCAGAGTGACGGCTGTTTGTGCTGTAGATAAGAGCTCGGGGAGCCTGGCCTGTTGTCTGCTGGAACCAACCAGGGTAGTTACTGGTAGTGACAGACCCAGAGCTGAGGCCACAGGTGAGGGTGACCGTCCCTCCTGGAGACACTGACAGGGACGGCTCCTGGGTCACCACAGTCTGAGAATCCACCCCTAAAAGTGACAGAAGAGAGACAGGGGTAGTTATGGAGACCAAGGTCATGCCGACACCTGTCTGTAAGCGCCCCCCCCAAAGATGCAGCGTCCCAGCCCCTGACCTGAGCCGTGAGCGAGGAGCCCGAGCAGAAGCACCGGTCAGGCCATGGTAGGGATGCACCTGGGACGCAGCTCCTCAGCCTTCTGGGCTGCACTGTGGGGTCCTCAAGCCTTTTCTTGCCTCCTGGACCCACTGGGAGGAGAATGGGCTTCATGCAAATCAGCTTCCTCCCTCTCCCGGCCCAGTGTCACCTGATGTCTGCTAGGGGAGGTCTAGAGGGAGCAGATGTGGGGCATAAGGCATTGTGATGAGGCACTGAGTGATGGGGGTGACCTCTGTCACCAAATGTACTCCCCCCAGCCCTGTGACCTCAGTCCTAAGTATCTTCCCTGCAGATCCTGAGGGCTGAAGGAGGAGATAGTGGGGTCCTCTCTTCCTGGGCCCAGAAATCTATTCCGCCCCCAGCAGCTACCCCCATCCCTGGGACAGTTCTCCCTTCCTCTGTGAAATCTCCACTTGTCTTTTTCAAAAGAGCTGAGCTGGCCCTCCTCCTCCAGCAGTGATTCTACTAGGAAGACACAGAGCCCGTGTCTGGGGTGGGAGGGGACAGGGGTCTTCCTGGACTCAGTCCTGGACCACAGGTCAGGCCCACAGTGCCTCCTTCTGGTCACAGGGCACAACCTCACCAAGGACCAGAGACCTGAGAGCCCAGCTGGTTGGGCAGCTCACCTGGTCCCTGTCTCCATTCACAGGTCCACGGTCGGCTTCCTTCTGTGGTTGTTTTGTGCTGAGGCGCATCCTATAATGTTTTCGTTTCCAAATGGAGCCCTAATCCATGGAAGCTGCAAATCTGTTATATGGAAACATTAATGGATACAGCCCCTTCCCCTGTTTATAAAGGACAGTCTAGAAAAGCTATCTGACCCCCGGATGCACCAGTGCAGGTCTCAGTGACAAAGGGACAGTGAGTTTGTTCAAAGGACATGTAGGAACACTGTTGAGTCCCCAAGAGGGGCCCAGGCCCTGCCCCCAGCCCAGATCCTGGGAGTCAGTGGTCCTCCCAAGCAGCTGTGCAGGGACCACAGGGCAGGCACACAGCCGCCCCTGCTGGTCAAATGTGGAAAATGAAAAAAAAAAAAAAAACCTAAGAATTTCTGCTTTTAAGAAAAGGAAATCAAATACATAACTTTCCTTGGAAGATACAAATGGCATTATTAGAGGAAATAAGTAAACAGAGTGATTTTGTAAGAAAAATACAAAATTTTATTCTAGAATTGGACCATAGGAAAACATAATATATATTTTTCATGAGGAATAGCTAAAAAACATTCAGAGAGCAAATGGTCCAAAAAAATGGCTTTGTGTATTTTTTATAAAATATTGAACAAGATGTAAAATTTCCTAGTTCTTTGAGAAAGCAGTTAAAACAGTTACAAATACAGCTGATAAATAAGATATTAAAGAGGGGAAACTACAAACCACTGTCATTAAATATTGATACAAATATTCTAAACGAAGTACTAACAGTGAAATTCCACTACCAGATTAATAAAGTAATAGTGTTACCAACTGTCAGTTTTCAACTTATATTTCATATTAAGACGTTTTAAATTGAATTTTAACATCATAATAGCAAAAAGCACATAAAAATTGAAGCAGACGCATTTGTAATATGCTAACATACTCTCTCTTTCACACACACACATCACACGGGTTCCACAGTGAAGACTCTGCCAACGAACTGTGTCTCTTCTGGACAGACTCTTCCAGGAGCCCACATTCTCCTTGAAACACACGCTGACTCTTCACCTCCTAACAGCCCCTCCCTGACCCGCACTTGGCAAAAACTCCGTGGAGGACAGGGAGGAGGTGACCCTGATCTGCACCATGTGCTGAAGGAGCAGGCCCAGGATCTCCCAGGTGATGGGGCCTCACAGGGAGGACGGTCACAAGTCAGTGAGGGCAGTTTGCCCAGCTCCCCTGGAGTCTGGGTGGTTGACCAGCTGTCTGCCCCAACATCCCCTCTTGGACTCGACATTGTGCCTGTTGCTGGCCATGGGGCCACCTCCTCCAGCCCCTGGGATGTCTCCAGCCCACATGTACAGTGTTCCATTTTACAGCAGTCTTTCTGATGTGACCCCAAGAGAGGGGAGAGATTACCTGGTTCCTGGGTGTTTCCTCGTATCTGCCGCACTGTGCTTGTGACTTCCTTTATGTGGATTCCACCCTTGTTCATCTAGTTTTTTCTTTGTTTCTCCCACTAGACGTTGTCCTGGCACTTCACGAGCCATCCTAACGCCTGCTTCCGGCACAGCCTTCCAGTCCCCACAGGACATGATGAGGTCATTGTGGACCCATCACATTGACCCTGCCCCTGAGGCTGGGGTCCATTCTGGAGCCGAGTCTCTGCCGTCTCAGCCTGACTAGTCCTGTCTGTCCTTTTTCTCATCAAGACCTGACAGGTGCAGCCAAGTGGGTGTGATCAGTCCTGGCTGCATAAAGGAACCTTCTGGGAAGATGTCAAAACAAAGAGGTGAGCAGCCCATCCCTGAGGTGCGCACCAGTCGATCAGGAGGAGACGATGTGACCCTGTGCTTTCCAAAGCCGTGGGTCCTAGCATGTGGGAAGGGCTGAGAACACATATCCCGGCTTCTTCCTTCCAGTCTGGTCTTCCAGTTCCTTGAATTTAACAGCAGAAGGTAAATATTCCATTGAATGTGAGATGTGTGCCCCCTAGAGACACACTTTAAGGATAATTGACGCCGGATCACCTATCAAAAGCCAGTCGTTTTCTTGATGGTCTCTGATCTCAATAATCATGCATTAGCAGGATGTGGTCATCATGTCATCTCAGGTGACTGCAGTTCAGCCCTGCCCCACGCGGTTCCTAAACCCCAGTTCGGTTCCACTCTTTCCCGACCCCTTTCTATACTTACTCCTTCCTCCAAAACTCGTGGCCCCTGACTGTGCGCCTTCCCCTCACTTGCTCCCCCATCATCCCCGACACCATGGTCTGACCACTGTGTCCTATCCACACCCCCATGTGGTCCCTGCCCTCACTCTCACCTCCTCCTCCCTCACCTTCTGTGCAGAACGCATACATCATCATCTTCTCTTGCTTCCCTGTACTCCACCCAGTGGCTCCCACATCCACCCGCCAAGCCCACCTCTTCCTCCTCAGTCATGTGTGATGTATTGATGAGGACACAGGCTGCCCTACGTCATTCATGTAGTATCCAATCACTGGAGTCTACTGGTCACCTGGTAGGTGTTCACTCAAGGGTGTGGATGGACGGAACTCCTTACAGTCCTTCCTAATCAGGCACATCTGGGCTTCGTATCCCTGATTCTGACCCAACGTGGGCTCAGTCCTGGCACAGCAGCCCAGGGCTATCCAGGAAGTCCTATTCACTTTGAGAACAGCAGCCAAGGTTCTGCTGACAAGGACTGGATTTAGGGCAGAATTTGAGAAGTCAGGACACATTCTGTAGATAAAGTCCCATAGGGTTGGTCTAAGACCCACATTTCAGACAAAACAAAGAAAGGACACAGCTGTGTTGGCTCAGCAGCAAGGACTGAGGGACAGCAGGTTTTTGACTCACTTCCCCCTCGTCCTGGAGCACTGAGCCACCACTGAGGCTGCTGTCATAACATCCACAGTAATAGTCAGCCTCGTCCTCAGCCTGGAGCCCAGTGATGGTCAGGGAGGCTGAGCTGCCAGACTTGGAGCCAGAGAAGCGGTCTGGGACCCCCGAGGCTCGATTGCTGTTACCACAGATGAGGAGTTTGGGGGCTGTTCCTGGGAGCTGTTGGAACAACTGAATACTATAACCACGCCCGATGTTGCTGCTGCTTCCAGTGCAGGAGATGGTGACCGTCTGACCCGGGGATCCAGACATGGAGGACGGCTGAGTCAGCACAGACTGGGCCCAGGACCCTGCAAGTGGGACAGACAGAGATGCTGATTCTGGAGCCAAGACACAGAGGAGGACCCAGAGCCCAGGCGTCCTCCCAGGGCCCCTTCCTCTGTCTCTAATCCTGTGCAGTGAGCCAGCAGGGTGAGGAGGAGAGGGGACCAGGCCATGGTGGGGATGGTCACTGTGTCCTGCCTTCTGTGTCCTCATAGCTGAGCAGAGCATCCCCAGGTCTCTCCCAAT